ATGGTGGCTGGGGAATGGGAAACGGGGATAAATGGCGAGCTTATCCCCGTTGCTGATCGATGGTTATAATGTTCGTGATCGATGAGATGAAAAATTGCGATCTTTCCGCCTTGCTTCAAGATCGGCTGCGTTCTGTTATCCAGACACTCGATCACTACTGATCGATCGGTAACCAGCAATCATCGAGATTTCGCTTGTATCGCCGATGTTGCTTCTCAAATGTGAATAATCCGCAACGAGGGATTTCTCTTTGTTCGCGCGCGAAACTCATAAGTATACGAATGCTCGTTCTAAAGAAATTTTTATTCTTCAGCTGCACGATCTGACGGTGCATGTTTCACAAAAAAAAAAAAAAAAAAAAAAAGATCAGAGCCTCGATCTTTAGTATCAGGTCACTAAATACTTATTTAACGATCAGAGAATGGAAAATGAAATTTAAACAGTGTTTACGCTCGTGGGTGAACGTCGTCGACGTTCATCCGCGAGTTTCCGGGAATTTTGCATTTATTGACGGCTGGAGGATATCGAGAAAGTTGGGAGATTGATCGGCTCGAGTGGCGACAGATGACGGAAACTACGAACACGCGGAGGCGGCGTGCAAAAATTTTTCTTGGATAGTTTCGCGGGTTCTCGTGCGCGCAATAATTCAAGAAAACTCGCTGCGCTGGGAAATAATCGTTTATCTTGAAAGATGGATCGAAACGAAACGTGATTAATACTTCTTAGAAATGTATGTTTTGATAAATCGCCGAGAGTCGGGGGGGGGGGGATAAATAAAATTATAGACGGACAAAGGCAAGAAAAAAAGTGAAGATACGAAATTTTTAAAAAACTCGTACGTAATTGAAATTGATGAAGATTCTTCCTTAAATCATCGCCGCAAATTTGCAATATCCATTTTATTCATAATATTCACAGAATTTTTCACAAAATCCACACCCTTGTCTTTTTGACGAAAGTACAAAATTTAAAAAAAATTCACGCGTAAATAAAATTGATAGATTGATACGATATTCATGTTATTTATGATATTCACTATAAACTGTTTCTTAATTCTTTAATTGAAATTGATGAAGATTCTTCCTTAAATCATCGCCGCAAATTTGCAATATCCATTTTATTCATAATATTCACAGAATTTTTCACAAAATCCACACCCTTGTCTTTTTGACGAAAGTACAAAATTTACAAAAATTCAAGCGTAAATAAAATTGATAGATACGATATTCATGCTATTTATGATATTCACTATAAAAGATATTTTTCCAAATTGACGAGCAACATTCATATACACACCCCTAACTGTTTCTTATCTTTTCAATAAAATTCTTAAAACTTCTTACATAAATAAAAAATTGATGGAAATTTTAGAATATTAAATTATCAATTATCGTGGATTGAAGATATTCGTGTCATTTATAATATTCACTATGAAAGACGGCGAATCTTTTTTTCTTCTTCAAAGTTCGACGAGTAACGCACTCAATGCACACTGTTTCTTTTCATTTTGAAACATCATGTTCTCATTACCTCGAAATCATTTAATAAACCTCTCTTTGAGCTCGCGATCGTTCAAGAAACTTGGAATATCATTCTCATTAGGACGCAGGAACAACAGGAATAATAATCCTATAATCAACAAGCCCATTCCATTTAGAAACTTTCGTTTACAACATTTAATCCAATCGTCGTTCTGCGAAATACAATTAAATTCCGTTCTGGCGGAATTAACGTGCGAGGTCGAAGGGAAAAGTTCGAGCACGCTCAACTACCGAAATCGAACTTGTTACGGAACGCGTCTCGTGCACCGGGGGGTAAATTCATCTATGCACGCTACTGTTGGCAGGGAAGCAGCTGGCAGTCTCTCTTCCCTGTTCCCCTGTATAAAATACCGATCGCAGATTCGTCGCAGGAGTTTCCAACAGCAATTACGCCGCTAATGGAGCCCCTACGGGAAGATCCAGACTTCGCGGAGGCCCTGACACTTTCCCAGGCTCTCGTGACGAGACCCGGAAACTTCGCCCCTTCCTTTTCACGCACCGGCGACGATCCTCCGCGTCTCCGTTGATCCGCGAACCAACGATTTACATAGTGTTACCAGCAGATTTATGGCCCCAAAATAATGGCGTTCGATTCTGCCAAGGAACGGCGGAAGGTTAAATCTTCGCGTAAATGTAAGACTTTGGGCTGCTTACTTTGACTTTCTCCTAGACGGTCGGATCGAGTTCAATATGTACTCGCGAGTTTCCGGTACTTGGGTCTACCATTTGCAAAGAGTGTAATTTCACGGTTGTAGAAGTCTACGTATATGCACAGTGAAGTTTATACAATTGCATCAATGCTAAAAATTCGATATAATGATAACTGACTGATGTAACTTTGTAAAACAAAAAAAAAAAAAAGATCGTACAACTTGGTCG